CAAAAACTGTTATAGGCCAGGTGCAGTGGCTCAGGCCTGTAATCCCAGCACTTTGGGAGGCTGAGGTGGGTGAATCACCTGAGTTCAGGAGTTTGATATCAGCCTAGCCAACATGATGAAATCCTATCTCTATTAAAAATACAAAAATTAGCCAGGCATGATGGTACATGCCTGTAATCCCAGCTCTTCAGGAGGCTGAGGCAGGAGAATCCCTTGAACCTGGGAGGTGGAGTATGCCGTGAGCTGAGATTGTCCCACTGCACTCCAGCCTGAAAGGACATTAATAAAAGGGTCAATTAATCAGGAAGATACAACAATTATAAGCATATATGTACCGATTATCACGGTTCCAAAATATAGGAAGCAAACCTATATACAACTGAAGGAAGAAACAGATACTTTTAAAATAATGTTTGGAGACTTCAATATGACACTTTCATAATGAATAGAACAATGAGACAGCAGATCAACAAGTACATAGTTTGAACAATGCTCTAGGCCAATTAGACCTAACAGAATGTATAGAACATCCACCCAAAAACAGCACAATATACATGTTTTTCTCAAGTGCAAATGGAACATTTTCTAGGATAGAACACATTATAGACCATAAAAAAATAGTGTATTTTAAAAGGTCAAAAGTTATACAAAGTGCCTTTTCTAATCACAATGAAATGAAACCAGAACTCAATAATGAAAGGAAAACTGGGAAACTCACAAGTATATAGAAATTAAACAGCGTATGCTTTGATATGGTTTGATTTCTGTCCCCACCAAATCACATGTTGAAAAATAATCCCCAGTGCTGGTGGGATGTGTTTGGGTCATGGGGGGAGATCCTTCATGGATGGCTTGGTGCCCTCCCCATGGTAATGAGACAGATCTTGCTCTGAGTTCACAGGTGACCTGGTTAGGAGCGAGGCAATTCCCCCTGCTCTCTTGCCATGTGATACATCTGCTTCCCCATTTGCCATGATCATAGGCTTCCCAAGGCCCTCACTAGAAGCTGAGCAGATGTTACTTCCATGCTTGTAAAGCAGCAGAACCATGAGCCAAAATAAACTTCTTTTCTTTATAAATTATCCAGCCTCAGGTATTTTTTTATAGCAATACAAAGGGACTAATAACAACCAATGGGTCAAAGAAGAAATCATAAGGGAAATTAGTAAATACTTTGAGACAAATGAAAATGAAGCACGCTATACCAGAAGTTAGTGTACGCAGCAAACACAGTGATAAGAAGGAAATTCATAGCTGTAAATGTCTACAAGATTTTACATCAACAACCTAATTGAACATGTTATGAAGCTATAGAAAGAATAAACTAAACCTTAAGTTAGCAAAAGGAAGGAAATAATAAAGAAAAGAGGTACACAGAAAACAGAAAAATTAGTACAGAAAAATCAAAACCAAAACATTAAATTTTTTGAAAAGATCAACAAGATTGACAAATCTTTGGCTAGATGGACTAAGAAAAAAACACAGGACCCAGATTACTAAAATCAGAATGAAAGTGGGAATGTGACTCCAGGTTTCACAGGAGTAAAAGGGATTATAAGAGAGTACCATGAACAACTGTATGCCAACATCATAAATAAATTACTAAAAAGATGCGATCCACCAGCACTGAGTCATAAAGAAACAGGGAATCTGAATAGACCTATTATTAGTAAGGAGACTGAATCAGTAATCAAAAACCTCCCAACAAAGGATGGTTTCACTGGATAAGTTTTACCAAACATTTTGAGAAGCATTAGTGTCAATCTTTTTCAAATTCTTCCAGAAAAATAGAAAAGGAAGGAAGCATTTCCTAACTTATTACATGAGGCCAGCATTATGCTAATAACAAAGCCAGATGAAAACACTACAAAAAAATTGCAGGCCAATATCCCCTGTAAATACTGATGCAAAAATCCTTTAAAATAATGCCAGGAAACCAAATTCAGCAGCATGTTAAAGGATTATACACAACAACGATGTGGAACTTATTCCTGAAATGCAAGATTGGTTTTGCACATGAAGATCGATCAGTGTAATATACCACATGAACAGAATAAAGGGAAGAAAAACCAGATAATCTAAAATGGTAAACTTTATCACAAAAAGAAAAACGGAACTGCGAAACTGCTTCCCAAAGTGCTTACAGCATTCTACACATCTATTACAGATGCATGAATTCTAGCTGCTCCACATCTTCAACATTTGGTGGTGTCAGCCTTTCCCATTTTTAGTTATCCCATTGAGTGTGTACTGGTGTTTCACTGTGGTTTTAATTTGAATTTCCCAGGTGACTATTGGCTTTTCATAATAGCCTCTTTGGGGAAGTGTCTGGACAAATACTTGTCCAGATAAATTGGGTGGTTTCGTTTATTACTGAGTTACAGTTCTTTGTGTATCTGTGGATACAGTTCTTTCAGATATAATTTTAAGTATTTTCCTCCAATGTGGCTTCCCTGCTCATTTTCTAAGCTGTGTTTGAATGAGCAAACTTTGTAAATTTTGAAGAAGTCTAACTTATCAAATTTTCTTTTTACAGTTGTTGCTTTCTTTTTTTTTCTTTAAGACGTGGTCTTGCTCTGTCATCCAGGTTGTGGTACAGTGATACAATCATGGCTCACTGCAGCCTCAACTTCCTAAGCTCAAGCAGTCCTCCTGCCTCAGCCTCTCATGTAGCTAAGACCACAGATGCATGTCACCACCACATGCAACTAATTAAAAAAAATTTTTTTTCTAGAGATGAGGTTTCACTATGTTGCCCAGGCTAGTTCTGAACTCCTGGGTTCAAGTAATCCTCCCAGTTAGGCCTCCCAAAGTGCTGAGATTACAGGTGTAAGCCACTGCACCTGGCTGGTTGTTGCTTTCTGCATCTAAGAAATCTTATCCACTTCCATGTTGCTGAGGATATTCTGCTATGTTTCTTTCTAAAAGTTTTATGGTGTTAGCGATGTAGGTCTACGATATTTCTCCATGGTGAGATAGGAGTTGTGGTTCTCTTTTTTTGAATAGGAATATCTAATTACCCTAACACCATTTGCTGAAAAGATTTCACATTAGCTACTGATCAAATAAATGTGATCTGTTTCTGGGATTTTTCTTTTCTTTTCTTTTTGAGACAGAGTCTCACTGTCACCCAGGCTACAGGACACTGGTGCAATCTCAGCTCACTGCAACCTCTGCTTCCCAGGTTAAAGCAATCCTCTGCCTCAGCCTCCCGAGAAGCTGGGATTACAGGCACGTGCCACCACACCCGGCTAATTTTTGTATTTTTAGTAGAGATGGGGTTTCACCATCTTGGCTAAGCTGGTCTTGAACTCCTGACCTTGTGATCCACCTGCCTCAGCCTCCCAAAATGCTGGGATTATGGACGTGAACCATTGTGTCTGTCCTGCTTCTGGGATTTCTATTCTGTCCCATAGATGTACTTGTTATCTATGTGCCAGCACCACATTACCTTATTTTAAGTTTTGAAGCCAAATGGGGCATATCTTTGAACTTTTTATTTTTTTAAGTTTGCTTTTATTATTCAAGGTCCTTCTCATTTTCATATATAATTTGGAGACAGTCTGTCAATTACTACCAAAAAAAAAAAAAGCATGCTAAGATTCTGCTTGAAATTGCATTGAACTGAAACACCAATTCGGGTAGAAGTGAATGTTAATTAACACTGAGCCTTCCAGTATGTGAACATGATATGCCTTACCATTTATTCAAGTGTTCATTAAACATTTCAGCAATGTTTTATGGTTTTCATTGTAAAGTTCTGGTCACCTTTTATTAAGTTTGTTCCTAATTTAAATTATTTTATTGCTATTGTAAATGGAACTGACCTCTTGGTTTTCTTTTCCAGTTTTTGGCTGCTAGTATATAAAAATACAACTCACTTTTGTATATTGAGCTGTGTTCTATGACATTGCTAAATCAGATACACTTACTAATGCTAATAATTCTTTGTACATCCCTTAGAATTTTCTACGTAGTCATGTCATCTGCAAACAGAAGCAAATGTCTGCCTTACTTTTTGTTCTTTAAACCTTTTTCTCCTTTGCCTGTTGTAATGATGAGGACCACCAATACAGTGCTAAACAGAAGATGTAAGAATGGGCACCCTTACCTTCTTTCCAATCTTAAGAATGTATTCAATATCTCACACCATTAAATATAATGTTAGCTGTATGTTTTGAGACAGGACCTCACTTTGTGACCCAGGTTGGAGTGCAGTGACACAATCATGGCTCACTGCAGCCTCAACCTCCTGGGCTTTGAGAGATCCTCCTGCCTCAGCCTCTAAAGTAGCTGGGACTATAGGAGTGCATCACTATGCCAGGCTAATATTTAAATTTTTTGTAGAGACAAGGTCTCACTATGTTGCCCAGGATGCTCTTAGATTCCTAGGCTCAAGTGATCATCCTACCTTGGGTCCTAAAACTAACAGCACTTTAAAGATGTTCCAGTGTCTTCTGGCCTTCATAGCTTCTGATGGGAAGTCAGAGAACAGAGACTCACTGTTTTCTTTTAAGTAATGTGTTGCTTTTTCTCTGGCTGATTTCAAGATTTATCTTTAGCTTGTTAGCTACTTGACTATGACAAATCTGACAAGGGTTAAAGTTCACTGGGCTTTGTATACATATGCATATGCCCTCTACCAAATGTGAAAAAATCTTAGCCAGTATATTTCCTAGTATATTTTTCTGTCCCAAGAGAGGTTTTTTCTTACTCAGAAAGAATATGAAGACCAGATAAGACCAGGCTCCCTTAAAGTACTTTCAGGAAAAAAAATCATAAACCCAGGATGCTGTATCTAGCAAAAATATCCTGCAAGAATAAAGGGAAAATAAACATGTTTTGAGAGAAGAAAAAAAAATTCACTACCAGTAAACATGCAATAAAAGGACAAAATTTTGTTTAGAACCCTATTTCCTAGTGTTAAGTCCATTATCTCTTATGGTTTTATGGTTTTTATCTCATCTCTCTCTAGAAACTTAAAAGAGGCAGCATCTTACCTGAGAAAAATATTCTTCTGAAATGCGTGCAGTCCACTCGATGCAGTACTGCAGGGGTCGGCAGGGATTGGACAAATCAGCACATTTAATCAGCATTCGTTTCATTAGAGTCCGTTTCTCTGGAATCCTAAGCATATTGTTTATGGCTTCCAGACGTTCATCAGTTTCCTAAAACATAAGTGAAAGCAATCAAAATGGGTCCCTAGGTGCCAAGCCCTCTCTTACTGGTCTAGTCCCACTGCAAGCACAAAAAAGAGCACTAGTCAGAATCTCTAAGTTAAAGCTCTCACAAAACACTGCCAAGGATACTATGAGCATTGAGTTTGGCCTCTCATTTTGCACAGGAGAAAACCAAGGCTCAGTGAGATGCCAACCGGACCTAGGAGTGGAGGGTAGCACAGTGGTTGGTATATCTGCCCTTCCCCTTTTCTTTGCCTCTTTCTTCTCTTCCTCTCATTAAATCTTTGTCACAGTTGCCTTTTTTTTTTTGTTCCACTCTCCCCACTCCCTTGGTAAGAACTCAAAGACTGGTTTTCTCTTTTATTATATTTATTTTTAAATAGAATGAGCTGGAAAAAAAAATTTATCTGCCGTCACAACAAATGGGCTCTTGTAGCCCAACAGGCTCCTTACTTCTCCTACCCAGTCCCGTGATAGGTGTGATCTTGGGAATCTGCTCTAACATTTTTGATGTAGAAAGGACTTAACAGCCATTTTCTGTTGATCTGCACTCACGAGAAGATCTAAACTTAAGCATAATAAGTATTTATTACATTTTACAAATGAGGACACTGCGATGCAGGGAGGTGAAGTGACTTGTCCAAAGCAACCCAGCTGAGCCAGGATAAGAACTTAAGTTCTGCCTTTAGTCCCAGGCTGCCTTCCACTCACAGTACTACATGCTGTCTGCCTCACAAGGATCCCCACTGGCTATGGATCAATTTATGACATAATACAACCTCTATTCATAGGCTCTCTGAAGAGAACTCAGGTTAGAGGCTACTGGGGCAGAGAGCAATGGAAAAGACCAGAGCCAATTGAGTGTCCTCAGTCTGATTCCATGTCCATCAAGCAACCTTGCAAGGGAGTTAGTCATATCATTTCAATATGCAACAACAGCGGTCTCAGAAGGCCTGATGGTCCCAGCTCAGACGGAACAGATTTACCATCAAGATGGGCAGGTGGCAACCTGACTCTAGGCATCCTGGAGAGTGCCAAAATGACTACACCAGTGCTATAGCCCTCCTCACTCCAGGTTTCCCCTGCTGACTAGCTCTGTGCTGATGCTTCTTTCTTCAGATCTGTTAATACCTGCAGTGCGACTAAAGTTTAGTACTGCCAGCCTGGAAACTTCTCTATCATCTTCCTTTCTCCTGCTCTGACCCACTGGATATTGATTTTCAGTCTCTCAGAAGTAACCCCACATACTGACAACAGAGATGAGAACCATAATGTTAAGTGGAGTCTGTGAGGCATGTTATTTCTTTCTGTGGCATGGGGTCAGCCAGGAGTGTTGGCTGGGTGACAAATGGCCCTATCCAGAATGGCAGGGCAGGAGCCAATAAAAGATGCTGGTACACGCACCTCTGTGTTGAAAGTCTTTGGAAAAAGAGGGAAGTCAGGGGCAGGCTGACAAAGTGAGAGAACAGGAAAGGGTGAAGGAACAGAGTTCTCTACATCAGCTTAAACTGAAGTAAATGTCAAGGGGTAATATGCTACAAAGCCATGGGGTAGACAAAGGCCACGGCCAAACAAATGAGTTGCAGAAGTAAAATGGAGTTAGAAGTCTAGTCTGCAAGGATGAGTCATCCCTGTGTGTGAACTATCTCAGGATAGTGATAGAAGCTGGGGAGGAGGGTGGTAGAGAAGACTGTAAGGTGCTGCCAACATGGTCAGTAAATGTGGGCCTCAGAGGAAGAAGGTTCATAAAAGAACATATTCTTTAAGTTGCTGACACAACCAATCTACTGTAACAGGCTCCAGTTCTTAAGAGCCTACCATGTACCATGCTCATCACTCCTATTCCTTTAGACCTATTATTTCCATTCTACAGATAAGCAAATGGTACAGTAGAAATAGGGTGGGAACTCGAGCCTGTCTGCTTCCTCAGCTGGAGTCTCCTGCCTGGTGAGAGGGTTAATGTTATCCTTGCCCAGCAGTTACTGTGAACTCCATGCCTCAAATGTAGAAAGGGGGCAACAATAATGTCACACTTGTGACCCAAATACAGTGCCTTTCTCAATCGACACAGTCCTCTAAGAGTAGACCAAGAGAGAATAGCTGCTGCTACTATAGTATATGCCCCGTGGGAGTGGCTAGAGAGAGATGTCAAGGGCTCTAACTGATCACAGAATGGCAAAGAGGACAGGAATAGTCTACTTGTCTGAAGTTAGTTTATTTAAAATCTGATCTTCCTTTCGAGTTTTCTCATCTAGTTATATGTGCTAATTTTTTTCCTGACAAATTTTTGAACTTTAAATAATGTTTTAACCAATAAAAACTAAATTTAGTGAGCCCACTGAGATGGTTAATACTGAGTGTCAACTTGATTGGATGGAAGGATACAAAGTACTGATCCTGGGTGTGTCTGTGAGGGTGTTGCCAAAAGAGATTAACATTTGAGCTGGTGAGCTGGGGATGGCAGATCCACCCTTAAGATGGTGGGCAGAGTCTGGTCAGCTGCCATCAAATATAAAGCAGGCAGAAAAACCTGACAAGGAGAAACGGACCTAGCCTCCCAGCCTGCATTTCTCCCATACTGGATGCTTTCTGCTCTCGAACATCAGACTTCAAGTTCTTCAGTTTGGGACTCAGGCTGGCTCCCCTTGTTCCTCAGGTTGCAAACAGCCTATTGTGGGACCTTGTGATTGTGTTAGTTAATACTTAATTAACTCCCCTTTGTATGCATGTGTGTGTATATATATGTGTGTATACAAACACACATATATATCCTATTAAGTTCTGTCCCTCTAAGAGAACCCTAATACACCACTGAGGGAACCCTTCTGTGGCTATCGCAGCCCATGTGTCTCCACAACCCAGTAGTATAAGGACCCCAAACACAGGTTCTCTCTGCAGCAAGTTTCCCTTACCCCATTTTCTTCTAGTGTTGCCAAGGTTGTGTTGATGCTGTTGACAAATTCGTTGACATGCTCAGAGTGATTTGTCATTTCTGTGGCTAGGACCATGTCAATAATCCCCTGGCGCAGTGTCCAATAGTCATCCCTGTTTCAAATGACAAATTAGAGGCCGCTACAGGTTACTGATCCGAACCAGACAGGTACTCCTGAAAACAATCTGTCATCCAGGTTATGTGTCCTCTGAAGCTATAAGTCTAATGTCACTGAAAGTCACAGGACACATTTTAAAAGGATGTGGAAGCTATGGGTTACTGCCTAGATCATTAGAAAGGAGAACCCAAACAGAAGTTAAAACCGAAAGCTAAAGGCAAAACTTAATAGCTGCAGTGTTTACCTTGTCATTCTGTAGTATGATGTATATAGTTCTTTCAATAAGAATATAAGAAAGGTGAGTGATACCAGTTCTCTTAATGAAGATAGAGATCTGTGGTTATAAAGAATACACCACACATGAAGGTACCTTGAGACCCAACAATTCTAGTGCCCACAGAATGTGAAATCAGATCTTCTGATAGCTGAGAAAATCATAGGGAGTACTTGATACGTCTAACTCTAACCATTGCTTTTACTTTAGTACCTTAAAAATTCATTTATTGAAGAGATAATCCATATAATTCAAAATTTGAAGGGGTACAAACAAATATGAAATAAAGTCTCTACTCAACCCCTTTTCTCCAGTTGGGTAGAAAACTTTCCCTGGAAAGTTAACACGGTCTGATACAGTTTTCCATTGACAACTGATGTAGCTATATGCAAATATAAACGGAAACTTCTTTAACTCCATCTCTGAAAGCCTAGAACATGGCAGAAGGGAGTTTTACAAAATCAAGAACCATCTTCTTTAAAACTCCAAATTAGTAAATATTCTTCATGATACAATGTTTTTTCCTTCTTCAACTCATATTCACTAAGATCCTAGTATGTACCAAGCGCTGTACTAGGCGCTGAGGGCATGGTGACATATGACCCTTGGGATCTTACAGAGCTTAAGAATCTAATCAGACATTAAGCAAATAATTAAAATAATTATTTAATAAGAAATGTGATATGTGCTATGAAGGAATCTGGGATTGAATAGAGGGTTTAACTTAGCATGAGAGATCAGGGAAGACTTCCCCAAGAAAGTGACACGTAAACAGAGACAATGCCAAGCCTCTGTATGCTGGCTACAGAGGGGCGGAGTGGAGTGCTTCAGGGAGAGATGTAAGATGACTGCTGCTCTGAGTCTCTGAGAGCTCAAGGTATCAGCATTATACTTCATCTTAAAACATCAAGACATAAAGGGGCTGAATCTTAAAAACATGCAAAGTGAAAGCAGCCAGTCACAAAAGATCACGTTGCATATGATTCCATTTACATAAAATGTCCAGAACTGGCAACTTTATGAACAGAAAGCAGATCAGTAGTTCTCTAGGACAAAAGGAGTTAAGGCGGAATAGAAAAAAAACTGCTCATAAATTTGAGGTTTTATCGAAGGGGTGATATTCTAAAATTGATTGTGGTGATGGTTGTACAACTCTATAAATTTAGTAAACACCACTGTACACATTATTATTATTTTGAGACGGTCTCACTCTGTTGCTCAAGCTGGAATGCACTGGTCTGATCACAGCTCACTGCAACCTCAGCCTCTTGGCTCAAGCGGTCCTCCCACCTCAGCCTCCTGAGTAGCTGGGACCTCAGATACAATTACCAAGCCTGGCTAATTTTTTTTTCCTTTTTATAGAGACACAGTGCCCCTATGTTGCCCAGGGTGGTCTCAAACTCCTGGGCTGAAGTGATCCTCCTGTCTTAGCCTCCCAAAGTCCTGGGTTTATAGGCATGAGCCACTATGTCTGGCCCACTGTACACTTTAAATGGGTGAACTGTGTAATATGTGAATTATATCTCAATATAGCTGTTTAAGAAAGACAAAGAGGGATCAACACAATCCTCAATCATTGTTCTTACCTATCCATATTTTTAAATATGTTGTATTTATCATCTCCGAGGGTCAGTTGGAAGGCCAAGGCTGCATGGTGTCTCTCTAGCACACATATGTCATTATACAAAATGGCCAACTGACTTCCAGAATTACATAGAAAGGAGTTGGTTCTCCCAGGGTGATCCAAGTTGTGAATCGTGGCTGCAAGGAGTGCAGCCACCTTATCAAATTGATTGAAAGTTTCCTGAAAAAGAAGAGAGCTTTCAAAAACTGGGTTATGACATTGAAGGCAAGGAAGCCTTCTGTATAGTTTTCTTTCTCCCCTATTACTTTAAGGTAACAATATTTCAGATTTCTAAGAAAAGCACACTACCTGAGCAAATCTAGTTTTCCTACCTCCACCCTAAAACAGTTACATTTCTGCAAATGTTTGTTAGTCTCACACAAGTTAAGCACTTACCAAAATATAGGTGTTTTCAACAGATAGGAGTCACCTCCTCAGCAAGTCTTTCTCTAGACCCATCACAAAAAAAAGTCCTTTGTCTGAGATATTGACTTAGACTAACATAAACTAATAGTAATAAAGGAAAGAAATAATTTTAAATAAAATTTAAAATAGGCACCACTTAACATTAACTGGGAATTGGTCCAGTTTTCTTCCCCCCTTTAGTGCTACCTTTGTCAGGTTGATGTCAGAGTTTTGTGAGTTTGACAAAATGACCTGGACGTTTTCCACCTTTTTCAAAGCTCTAGAAAGATTTATGTAATATGGAAAAATTCCTCAAAAAGCTAAAGAATTCACCTGTCTATCTGGGTCAGGAGCCAACTTTTGAAGAAATTCAGTAATTTAAAAATTACTAAAATTACTTCCATGTTACTGACCTTTTTTCCTTACATCAATTTAATTTAAAACATTCCATTAAAAACTATTTTAAAGCTTTTGATTTAGTACCTATGTGTGTGGTACCTCCTTCTACCAATTTCTACCTTAAACGTGTACATTTTTGTGTCTATATATATTTTAACTAGTTTGGCTAGAACTTTATCTATTTTCTTGGACTTTATTTTTCTTCTAGGACCCATTTTGCTCTTCCCATGTTCTTTTCCTTGCCTAAGTGATTAAGGCATTTTAAAACATAAACCTTTAAATACACAATTGGCTTCATTCTGTAAGTTTTGGTGGATAAATTTCTCACTTTGCTGTTTTCTAACTAATTCAATTTTTAGTTTTATTTATTTGTTGATCCCTAAATTATTCAGAATATTTTCTCATTTGTTGTAGCTAACATTTTAAATTAACCATGAGTTATTAAACTCTATTTTGTTGTGTTGTGGTTAGAAAATAAAGCCTATGAAGTTTAGAAGTTCAACACATTATGTTCCAGTATAAGATCATTTTTGTAAATACCCTGCAGACACTTGAAAAGAAGATGTATAGTTAATAAATCAGCCTTGCAAATTTATTTAAATTGATTCAAATTAAAATTCAATAATTTAAATTATTGAATTGCATTTCAATAAATGCTTTTTTTTTTTGAGATGGAGTTTTGCTCTGTCACCCAAGCTAGAATGCAGTGGTGTCATCGTGGCTCACTGCAACTTCCACCTCCTGGGTTCAAGTGATTCTCCTACCTCAGCTGCCCAAGTAGTTGGGATTAGAGGCATGCGCTACCAAGCCCAGCTAACTTTTCTGTTTTTAGGAGAGACGGCGTTTAAGCATGTTGGCTAGGCTAGTCTCAAACTCCTGATCCATTTGCCTTGGTCTCCCAAAGTGCTGGAATTACAGGTGTGAGCCGCTGTGACATTTCAACAAATGCTCTTAAAAACTGTGTTTGGTTAGCTCTCTAAATATGTTTGTATGTTGTCTATAGAGTAGGTCAAAAGCAATACAGCAAAATTAGGTTATTTATATGCTGAGTCAATATTAACACAGATGTCCCTCTGTTATCTGCTTTCGTAATTTAGAAAACAGTCTTTTCTCTGAACATATATTTTACCTACAGCCTCATTTGATTTTTTTTCTTAAAAAAAAAAAACAAAACAGCAGTAAGAACAAGAGGGAGCAGAGAAAGCTCTGAGAAGGACTGCCCTGCAAGGTGAGGAATGAACACTTGTTCACTCCCTGTGTGCCAGATGTCATCTTCCACTTTGCTCTCTGCCAAATGCAAGTCCCGTGATAGAGAGGAGGAAATTCAACCAGAAGCCACTTGCCCTGGCCTCACATGGCTGCAGTCATCTAGGCCCTGCCAAGGGAGCAGCAGGTCAAGAGCAGAAGTTTCAGAAATGAAAGTGGTTTGGCATGGTCCAAAAGTGACCAGTTCCTGGGGCACAGGAGAGGAAATGATGAGAGGAGCTCATTGTTGAGGTGAGCATGGAGAGCTGTAGAGTTTAAAGTTTAAATCCTGATGGAGGTGGAAAGCTGCTCCTGGGAATGATAGCAAGGATCATCTGGGAATGACAGGATTGCAATGGCAGTAGTGTGAGGGTATTCCACAGGAGGCAGGACAGGTAGGAGTTCTAGTTGGGAACTGCTCAGGAGAGGATTGCGGGGGGCCTCACTGGGACAGCAGCAGGGGCATTATGAGGAGGAGACAAATCTGAGAACATTTAGGTGTGACAGGAGGCAAGGTCAGATGATAAACCAGATGTCGGGGTCTGAGGAGCGGAAAGAACCAAGGATGACTCTCAGTTCCTAGCCTGGGTATCTGGTTGGATGACAAAACCCTGGATTAGGTAGATAACCCTGGGTGGGAGCAGTGCTGGGAACAGAGATGATGAACTTGGCCTCAGACCCCTGCAGACTTTGACGTACAGACAAAGGCCCTAAAGTGGGGATATCTAACAGTTATTTGGCTCTACTAGTGCACAGGCTTGGAGTGAAACCCCCAGAAGCAGAGCCCTAATCCTTTTCTTGTTGGGTTTCTCCTCCAAAACCAAATCCTGCTTCTTGTACCCTCATGTAATGGCAAGGCTTTTGTCAATAATTAACACATCAATTTCCCAAAGCTACAGTGTGGCTTCCTGCCTGATTCCTCATGTGGCCTCACCCTTCCTGTGCAAGGATGCGCACATGAGCAGTCATGCTGTGTATCTCGATGGAGGCAGGAGCATTAGGCTCTCCCCACTGCTCCTGCCCATTAGACATAGTGTGTAAACACAGCTCACCATTATCCTCTCCTTGGAGAGAAAATAGGCAGTGGCATGAAGCACATCTGCAGCATGCGTAGAATTGTGGTAGGGATTGGAAGAATGATAATTCGCTTCAATAATTCCTAACCACGAACTTAGCGTTGACTCGGAGCAGCGTAAGAACTTACAGATTTCAAATCGAACGAAGATGTGGAGACCCAGATATATCAAAGGCCTATAGAGAGAAAAACACCCACAATGTTAGAACAAAGCAAACAAACAGGCCAAGTGTTTGAGGCCTGAATAAGTTCCAAGCCAAATTTCAGAGAGTGCAGGGCAGCAAAGTGGCGACTGCTTGGGCTGCGTTAGCCTCTTTCTGTGGGGGCCGACCAACTCTGGTTTCACTTCTTGCCCTCAGGGGACCAAGATGCATGGGTGAGAGCGGGCTGACCCCACAGCAGCAGCTCTTGCCTCAGCCTGGTTGGGATTCCTGATTTGCCTGGGGGAGTTTGCTTGCTTTGTCTTTCCAGGTTCAGCTTTCTACTTGCACTCCTGGATTTCTCCAAATAATCCTTTTTCAAGGCTAAGCTTGTGCCACCTTGAACACTATCCTCTCCTTTGGACTTGCTGGACCGATGTCATTGGCAAGACATCCTGCCTATAAGAAAACATTTCCTCAAAACATCGTATGAGCCAGTCACTTCCGTATGCCATAAAATTTTCTCAATAATCTGGAGGTGGGAATTACATTAAGAGGGGATTTTCCCAAAGGTGACCAGCTGGTCATCAAGTTAGGTTCTTACTTAAGAAATCACCTTGACCCAGCATCCGGCCCTTGCCTTTGAAGGCCAAGAAACTGGCTGTGTTGAGGCAGTATCCAGAGGTGATAACAGAACTTAAACTGACCTGCCTTAGCCTGATTCACATGGATGTAACATCATTAGGATACTAACCAGGTGTTCAAAGATTCATATGCCAAGGGAGTATTCTTTTCCACTCTCCTTGGCTGTGCTGGGAGATGGGGAAGTAGAATGTATCAGGTTAACTCAAGGTAAGCCTGAAAAAGTTAAGGGGCTATCTAGGGGACAGATCATCCAGACTGAGATGAGACCTGAGGAGCCATTCCATGGCCCAACAGAGCACACTTCTCCCAAGACACCCTTGGCGGCAGTCCTGGTTGGAATCAGCTCTGTGTACCTCCCTTTCTTATGTGCCCAGCAAACTGCCAACCTTTGGTTAACAGCTCTTCTCTGGCAAGGGACAAAACTCAAGACAAAACACCATTCCTGCTCCCACTCTGTGATCAAACCCAGATACGCATGACTCGGGCTTTGGGTTTCCCTACGCCTATCCGCAACACAGCAATCAGGATCTGGGGGAAGCTCTTATCACATCTGTATGTCTGTTTCTAATAAATTTTGGTTCTAGTCTCTGAGCAGATCTCTTACGTATTACCACCTACAGGAGAAATACTTTTATTTCACAGAAAAAAGTCCTGTGCTACTTGGAGAAGTCACTGGCATAGTTGCATGCTTTCCATTAATGTGCCATTACTGTGGCCAGCAGACTCTTCCCCCAGGCCCTGGTGACCCAGAGCCATCTGCTGCCTGACCACTCCTTCCTGAGAGCCCCTCTCTGCCCAGGGACCAGCTCTATGCAAAATCCACAATCCTTAGGCAGCCTCCTCACACAGGCCCTGGGAATCTAGTTCTCCCCCTGCTGAGCTCTACATGAACTCACCTATTGTGGGTGGCAGCCTCCAATTCAAAAATGTCAAAGTCCCAGGATTCCACGTTGGCCACTGCCCGAGCTATCCGTGGTGGGACATCATCCAGGGAGATGGGAGTTATAGTCCCTGAAACCATTTGAATGTCTGTAAAGTGATGTGATTTGGAGAACAAAATTAATACGCTTTATAGAATTAATTTGTTTTTCTTTTTTTTGGAGATGGAGTCTCATTTTGTTGCCTAGGCTGGAGTGCAGTGGTGTGATCTCGGTTCATTGCAACCTTCACCTTCCAGGTTCAAGTGATTCTCCTGCCTCAGCCTCCCAAGTAGTGGGGACTACAGGCACGTGCCATCGTGCCCAGCTAATTTTTGTATTTTTAGTAGAGACGGGAATTCACCATGTTGGCCAGGTTGACCTTGAGTTCGTGACCTGGTGATCCACCTGCCTCGGCCTCCCAAAGTGCTGTGATTACAGGCGTGAGCCACCGCGTCCAGCCAGGATTAACAATTTCTTAGGGAAGACAGAGCTGCCTCAGAGACAGTTGCTTTGTTTCTGAGGTTTTATGACATACCAACACACTTTTAATGAGGTGAAAAATTATTTAAAAACTTTTATCTGAAAAACTAATTTCATCACTTAAGCAAGACTGCAATATTATACACCGTGATCTAAAAAATTAAAAAGGAAAAACTTACTTTTTGTTGAAGGAACATATTCATTCCCTGATGGTCTTCGTAAACCATCCTGATAAAAATCAAGAAAACAAGAAAAAGTCACAACTATTCTTTCCTTCCTGGAAACTCCAGGTGGTCTTCCCAGAGGAAAGCTCAGGGCAGCCCTCTCAATCAATCCACTCAAGGCTGCCCTGGGCCCAGCAGTCTACCCCTGTGATCACTATGGTCAACCACTGACCTCAGTCACTTACTGGAGAGCACAATAGGCTACTACTGGGAAGGACAGGCCTGGCCCTGCTGGAAGCCAAATTCAGGCACAGGGTCAACACCCGAGAGGTGAGCTTGCATCTTTCTTTTTTTTTAAAGATAAGGTTTTACCATATTGGTCAGGCAGGTCTTGAACCCCTGACTTCAGGTGATCCACCTGTCTCAGCCTCCCAAAGTGCTGGGATTACAGACGTGAGCCACTGCACCTGGCTCAAGCTTGCATCTTTTGCAGGGCAGGTGGTCCTCAAGCCCAGCATTCTTGCCTGCATTCCAGGACCATTTGGTTTCTTAGGGACAACTCTGCTCTGCCTTCTGTTCTTTTCCATTTTCCTGCCACCCTGCTCACTCTGAGGACACAAGGCTTTCCTGGGAACATTGGATCCTCTCTCACCTTCTAAATGACCTCATTCCCCCCAGCTGACACTCCTGGGCTCCTCACCACTGCTCCCAGACCACCTTGCCCAACCCCAGACTCTCAGCAGCCCCCTCTTCTCCAGTCCCATGGCTATTCTCATCCACTCACCTCCAGGACACTATCACACCCCATCCCTCATCATTTTCCCCTCTCACCTACAGTCTGAAGAAGACTCTGTCTCAAACAGGCAAGACCACAGGTTAGGTATTATCAACATTGGAAACCACTATACCTTCTAGATTTCTGCCTGGAATCTTATTTTTATAAAATCCAGTGACTTCAGAAAGCAAGAATTGGGAGGGAGAATTTGCTTCTGACCAAGACAAAAGCTAACAGAGCAATGGAATAATCTATGCTGCACAAAGTTGTCGCTCTCTAGTGAGAGATCTATACCAGACATGTTGAAGGAGGCATCCAGGGCCCCTCAAGAGTCTATGGCACAAAGCCCCTTTCTACTGAAAGATACCCAAACCCCTCTTTCCTACAGTCAACCAAATGTGTGTGGGATGCTTTAAAGTCCAAACTGTTGGACACCCAGGCATCATTTTAAATACATATGGCGGAAGAAAGACATTCTTTCTGTTCTGCACTGAGCCACTTTTCAAGATTCTTAATACAACTAAACAAGCTTTATTTAGATAAACTACTGTAGCAGCCCTAAGCAACACTGGAGAACTAGCTCAGCAGACTGTCAAGATTACATTCTTCCGTGCTCTGCTCCAAGCTAAGCTCTCCCTAGGAGGCAGGCAGCAGGTAGGTGTTTGGCCAGAGAATAGTAGAACCCAGGCAATGAAGGAGAGTTGAGGCCTTGACTAAACCCTATAGTGCCCTGTCTGTCTCTTCAAAGAGATCTGTTTAAATGAATAACCTTAAATGAAGCCAAGAGCAGACAGGATCTAGCCAGGAGCCTAGTCAAATATACTTACAGACATTAAGCCCTCAACAAGGTCACTGGCATGAGGATCATCATCCTTAACACGAAGCTGTTGTGCATATAGTTCAGTGGTTCTTAGAATTTCCAGCACACGGTCTAGGGCTTCTGTCACAGCCATGGGACTGCTTTCCCGGGCAGTGTTGATCATACTGATTGCCTACATTATGGAAAGAAAATACTTCAGTTTCATAACCTTAAAAACAATGGGAGAGCCAGGGATGGTGGTGCATGCCTATAATCCCAGCTACTCAGGAGGCTGAGGAGGGAGAATAACTTGAGCCCAGGAGTTTGAGACCAGCCTGGGCAACAGAAGTGAAAGCCCATCTCTAAAAAACATAACAGCAAACACAAAACCAACGAAATAAAACCCAACAGGACTCAGTCTGGCCATAGTACTTAATACTAATGTGAGACTCGTTAATATGTCCATGTCACATATCCTCTTTCTTCAGAGGAGGCAGCACCACACAACTAAGAGAGCATTCTCATTACTGCAGGTCCCTGTTTCTCCTCATTGGAAACAATCCTTGGGGAGAACAAGGAGCATGTGTGCTCACTGGAGACAGACCACAAACTGCTTCACCTTGGTGATGGGCGCCTCAATTATCATGAAATGTGTCCGGGCCATGGAAGAGTGTCGTCGTCTCTGGTTGGAAACTGTGGAGAAAGGGATGCACAAATCAGGGTGTGCACAGCTCTGGGCACCACACCTGGGCTCACTGTGCTCAGCTGAATGATGAAGGAGCAGAATAGAACTACGAGTTTGCTGAGCTTCCTTCCTATCCTAATAAGCCTGGGGTTTTGGCATAACCAATTCTGTTTCCTTCAGTTCTAGGCACTAGGATGCACAGATGCCCCCGTGGACTGAACTTCTGATGTCACAGGATAGAGAGAAAACAGAGGAAACGATCTAGCAAGCCAAAGCCAAACAGCCTCTTTTTGTGTTTATGTACCATGCACAATGCCGTGGGCCTCTCAGACTGTGCCATGCATCCCCATTTCACAGAGGAGGAAACGGGGAGCTGCTTTGCAGATGAGTGCACAGCAGGGTGGGTGCTGAACTCAGCTCTTCCCACAGCCATGGAGTGGCTTCCCTATCTTCTCTTGGCTTCCTCACCCGAAACCTCTCTCTGCTCATGGACAGGAACTGAATGCAGGCCCCTAGCACTTCCTCTGCACTGTCAAGAAGCCTCTTCATCTGCTGTTTGCTTCTCTGTCCAATTAAACTACATCTGCTTCTCTGTGGACATTGAGAGTGAACATGTCAAGGTTACCAATGACCTCCTTTTTGCTAAGTCTGAAGGCTACAACTCAATCCTTGCCTGACCTGACTTGACTGTGGTACTAGACACAACTGATCCCTTTCTGGACACTCCTATTTGCAGAGTCCACACTCTCATGGTTTTTCTTTCCATCTCTTACTATTCCTTTCTAGTTTCTTCCATGATTTCCTCCTCCTCAGCACCCCCAGTTTTCCAAAGGTTCTATCCTTAGCCCTTCTCAGTCGACAAAACCTCCTTGGGAGATCTCATTCCTTCCTATAGCTCTAATTCCTATGTTGCCATCTTACCCCAGGCCTCTCTCCTGAGCTCCAGACTTAACTAACCACTTACCACCTCATTTGGATACTCCTTAGGAACTGCAAATGAATCGATTATCCACCATTTACTTTTTCTTTACCCAAATCTGTTCTTTAACCCAGGTCACTGAACAGCATCTACCATAAGGTAGACAAAAGTCATCCATCACTTCTCCCTCTCCCTTCTCCTCTCCTTCCACTGGGTCAGCCAAATCTAAAAATTCTACCTCCTAAACACCTCGAGTCTATCCCCTGCTCTATCCCTGTTTGAGCTCAGACACTTGTCATCCTCTGTGGATTATAACAGCCTCCAAGATCAGTTCCAAAACACCAACCTTACCCCCTTCAACTTATTCTCTGCAGGCGGCTAAGCAATCGTTCTAAAACAAAAATCCAACCAGATCTCTCAATCAAAACACTTCAACAGCTCATCCTTGTTTTTAGGGTAAGATTCAAACTCCTCAGTGTGGCACCCAGAGTCTTATGAGGTCTGTCCCCCTCTCTCCAGCCACCTTGAACTATTGATGATTTGTTAGTTTGCCTCCCAAACTTCTATGACTTGGTACATACCACTTACTTGGGAATGTGCCTCACCTGCTTACCTCACCTGCTTACCCCAGATCTTCTTTGAAGATGCAGTTTGAGTATCATAACTTTTGGGAAACTTCCCCTTAAACAGCCTCTCCACATGACCACAGCAGTGCTTTGGTGTCTTTCCTTCCTTGCTAACGTGAATGACCTGGGGGCAGGGACAGTTTTTCCTGTCTTTCCTAGGTGATCAGTACCGTGCCTAGCATGTGCTAGAAGCAGCATGTGTATAAAAGCTCAATAAATACACATCTGCTTCACCAAAAACCTGCACCCTCCTGTGCACAAACCAAAGTTCTACTAAATAAGCCACTTTGATTCTGTGGCTCCCCTGCTAAAAATCCTTCAGCACCTCGGAGATAAAGAACTTCCTGGCATTCAAGAATAGGTACAGTCAGCCTTCAGCAGCCTGCCTTTCATCTCTCGCTGTTTCCCACGAATGCACTGCATCAGCACAACTGCAATGCCTTCTGTCTCTGGAACGGCCATGACACCTGCTCCTTTCATCTGAGACATGACACTGCACCCTCTCCAAGTGTTCACACCTTTACATTTCCCCTCTCCTCAACCACATGGAGCCGGAAGTGTGTGTCCTTCCTCTGAGCTGCATGGTGAGTAATATCCACATGGCCACCTGATGAGCCTGGGCTGGGAATAGGGTTATTTGTTCCTTCATTCTCCCCTCTTTTATTCCATTCAACAAACCTTTACTGGGCACCCACCATGTTTGATGCCCTAAGCTAGGCATTAGGGAGGTGAAAATGTTAAGGTATGGTCCATGTCCTAAAAAGGAGATGGTCAGTGGAAAAAAGAATTAAGAGTTACGGTAATAATTTTGAAGTTCAGGAAAAGCCTGGGTGGGGGGAGGTGGGAGAGAGGGGGGTGGAGTGGCAGATTCTCCTCTGGGAGTGGGAGCAGAAAGGAGATTAAATGGAGTCTTGTAGCTGCAGCCAAGATGAGGAGGAGGAAAACAGCATTTCCAGGAGGGGGGAAATTGCTTGTGCAGATGGAGCAGTGTGGCTGAAGGGCAGGTAGCAGTATGTATGAAGGATGTGCTGTGAGGAGTGGAGGGAGACTAAACAGGCTTTAATTTCTACTTGACCATTTCAAAGTTACTATATGTAAATACAAGATCTTCCTGTTCCCAAAGGCCCTAAGCTTGCTGCTCCCCTAGTGCCTATAGCAAGTTATAGATGATTCTGTTAATTTTCGCACAGTGGGCAGAGATGGACCATGTCTCCACCCTGTCTCAGCCCATGAATTTTTAGTATAGAGCAAGTCATCCGTTTTTTCATTTATACACACTTCTCCTAACTCTTTCCCTAGTAATTCACCTGACTGATAGCCCATTGTTTCTTCTACCGCAGGATTTGCATACTGAAAAAGAAAAAACATCAAGTTAACTGAAAGTAATTTTGAAAAAGAGGACAATCAAAGGTCTTCAACATAAGCCCTGCAGTTTTTTTCGCCAGAAAAAGCTCAGAAGTCTGCCCTTCATAATTCTGAAGCCCAGATGAGCTTCTGCTGGGCTTTCTGCTATGTTCTCCTGAGGCTCCAGGAGGGCAGCAGGCTCACTCCCACTTCAACAGGGGCAGAGAAAGGGGTGTATGTGCACAGGGCCAAACCAGGAACTTCTATAACAGGGCTGTTTAGATTCAGGGACAATGGAATAAAGCACCAGATAAGAGTGCAAAACACTCAGGCTCTCCTCCCCCTCCACACAGCCCTCAGCAAGTCACTTAATCCCTCCAACACTCTTATCCGGATATGGGAAGGAAACATTTCTCTTGCTTCTTTCATATGGTTCAAATAAATGATGTGTGAAAAGCAGGCTATGAACTAGGAAGTAATTACAACTGTAAGGCTCTATGGTTAAGTTTCAAATACGACTATAAGATAAGCAGAACATGAATGGGAAAAAGTGTGCATGTGCTAATGATGATAACAATCGAACAATAATTGATACTATCTGTCAGGGTCTGTTTTCCTCACTGGGCACTACAGTAAACACTTCATGTACATGAACTCAAACACTGGCCCATGCTGCCCCTCAGGGCACCAACTCAATGTCAACACCATCAACCCTTTAACACGGAAGTCACAGGTCAGATTAAAGTGAAGGACTGGAGAGCCCAGAAGTAAAATCAAAGTGGAGCTGATCCTCAGATAAAAGGAATGTTTTTTCTGGCACAATTTCTTTTTTTGCTGTTACCTGAAAGCATTAAGCTACGTTGCCTTAAGTCACTCGTATAAACCCACTTAGATAATGTGTAATGTATTCAGTACTTACTAGGTATGTTATTTCTGAAACTTTTAGTTGTTTCTAGCATATTTCTGTTAAGTGCCAACTATCTTCTAAGACAGTGGTGGTAGAAGATAGTTTGCACTTAACAGAAATATGCATTTCCATGAACTTACACAAATATGCACTTACAGAAATATGGCTCAGGCGAGTAGCAGGGACTACAGGTGTGAGCCACCACGCCTGGCTAATTTTTGTATAAGAAACCCCATGCCTGGCTTTTTAATAAAGATGGGGTTTTGCCACATTGGCCGGGGTGATCCTGACCTCAAGTGATCCACCCGCCTCAGCCTCTCAAAGTGCTGGAATTACAGGTGTGAGCCACCACGCCCATCTTTATTTTCTTTTATTTTTTGAAATCAACTTTCAAGGGCTTGGAATGGTCTGTATATCATCATACTCTCACAGCGCAGAAAGAAAAGAGGCCCTGAGAGACCAGTTTGAAGGACATTCACATTTACGATGGCAACATTGTTAACAGCCTTGTCCCTCTAAAAAAACTCATGAGAGTAATTGCTTTAGGTCTGAACTCAGAAACTGTACTTCTCCTGAGTCACTTGCTAGTTTTAAATCTGCAGAATTCTGGAACTCTTTTCGTATTTGGTGAGGCTGTGGAAGCTCAGAGGCGAACCTGTGACCCAGCCCCGTGGCAACCATGCATGCCCTTATGGCATGCGCTCTCACATACGGACTTGACTCCTGACTTAACTGGCCAGTTCTCGTGTTCCCTTGGCCTGATTTCCTTTTTGTTTTTTTAATCTATTATATGTATTTTTTAAGTTATTTCAACTCTTTTTTGAAACAAAATGAGAGAGGGCAGTCCTAAAGCTGAGGTAGTCCCCACTCTCCTACCCGCCATATTCTAAGTGGAATGAGTCAGGCTGGATTTTCACTGTTTTCATTTGTCACCACAGGTGTACAAGGTGTCTATACGCTGGGCTAATGAATCCTGGTTGTGCAAATTAGCTTCTTGAGCAACAGTCCCTAAATACCAGTTACTTTTCATTGCCTTACTAAATACCATATAATTCTCTCAAAATGTTCTTTCAGGAACACCACGGGGCATATTTTTGAAGACAGAGGTGCTATAAAATCTACAAATTTGACAAGCTATTCAAACTCTAAAATGGCTTGGAATATTTAACTCAAAATATAAAAAGTTCCTATAGTAATAGCTGGGCACAGTGGCACATAGTTGTAATTCCAACACTTTTAAAGGACCAGGTAGGAAAACTGCTCGAGTCCAGGAGTTCAAGGCCAGGCTAGGCAATATGGTGAAACTTTTTCTCTACAAAAATTAAAACATTAGCCAGATGTGGTGGTGCATGCCTGCAGTCCCAGCTACTCAGGGGGCTGAGGTGAAAGGATCATTTGAATCTAGGAGCTCAAGTTGTGATCATGCCTCTGGGTGACCCTGAAACAGCAAGACCCTGATACAAAAAAAAAAAAACTTCCTATAGTAATATAGAAATAATACCCAGGTATAAACCAAATGCATTTGGCAATGTGTATGATAAAAGAATTCTATATACTTCCTGGAGGAAAAGAAAAACTTTACAAAAGTCAACAAAACAAAAGAAGAAAAAAATTATATGGACTATATTCAGTACCTATGAATCCATTTTGGTGGAAAATAAATAAAATGTCAAAATGTCTTCTTCAAAAGAACTATATATCATTCAAACCAGAGAGAAATCATTGTCTACAGGTAGAAAAAGAATATTTAAAAATCTAATTATTATCCAGTTCAAAGAGGTAGAAAAAAAAAAAAAAACCTAATTATCCCCACTCTAATTCCAGGTAATGAAGAAGTGAAACTAGGATACCCCACCTGATCGTGTTCAAGTATTCAGAGAAATATCATTAAAAAGACAGAAATAAACAGAAGCAGGACTTAGAGATCCTGATTTTTCCTTTCTCCCAGTTCCTCTTCCATTTTATTAGCTGTGTCAGCCAGGACGCTTGTGGTTTCAAGTCAAGAAAATTAATCTTAGAGCATTATGGGATAAAATGGATTTACTACCTCATGCTAACTAAGAGACCAGGGTCAGCTCTTGTGAGCTTCAGGAAAGGTTTGGTAGGACTTCAGCTCTGAGGGTCTGCAATTCTCTACACCTGTTCTCACCCAGGAGTTGGCTTTGTCCTCACTGTGGGGGTTGCGAGGGGAGTGGGAGTAACATCTCCCAACCACTCCAAAGTCTGATTGGGACAGTTTCTATTACATGCCTGCCCCTGAACTAGTAACAGACCAGAGGAATTCCATGTCCTGCTCAGCTTAGGCCTGAATTATGTATCTATTACTGAACCAATAAATGGGGAAGGGAGGTTGCTGGGGCCCACCCTGGCTAGCTGGCTATTCAAACCCAGTTCCTCTTCTTCCTGGGCACACAGCTAGATCATATTTCCCAGCCTTCAGTGAAGTTAAATGTGGCCATGTGGCCAATAAAGTAAATAAACTGACACGGACCACTTCCAGACCTGGCTGTTAAAAACCTCTCACCCATGACCCTCCATGCTCCTTCCCCTTTTAGGAGCTTGTCCATATAGACAAGCATGGCGACCTTGGCAAGCATATATTGAAGATAAAAGAGCCACAGATAGAAGGAACCTTAGTCCCTGAATCACTACTTAGAGAAGAGTCTTCCACTGATTGAGAACATCGATTTGAAATTTTACACGACTGGGAAACTTCTACCAGGGTTGTTGAGCCTTTAGTATATTTTTTGGTTTGTTACAGCAATCAGCCTGTCCTAACAAATCACCCAGAAAGTTGGGTGATTTGGCCAAGATATAGGGTTAGCTGATGAAACAGAAACACAAGAACAAGATGCAGACTGGACACCATGGCACATGTCTGTAATCCCAACACTTTGGAAGGCTGAGGTGGGAGAATTGCTTCAGTTCAGAAGTTCAAGACCAGCCTGGGCAACAAAGTGAGACTCCCCGTTTTTATAAAATATTTAGAGATTAGCAAGGTGTGGTAGTATCCACCTGTTGGCCCAGCTACTCAGGAGGCTGAGGTGTAAGGATTGCCTGAGCCCAGGAGGTTGAGGCTGCAATGAGCCTTACTGCACCACTGCACTCCAACCTGGGCAACAGAGAGAGACTGTGAGTTGAAAAAAAAATTTTTTTTAAAAAGAAAAAGCATAAAACAGGATGTTTTTTGCATACCTTACAACCGGTATGCAAAAACAGAATTGAGAACAAGTAGTTAGTATAAAGGACAGGGTAAAATGAGAAGTGATGAGCAATGAAGGGTAGCTATCTCTTAGGCAGGCTACACGAAGTACGGAAGAAGGTCAACTGGGAAGCCCTTTCTGTCAAACCTTGCTTGAAATTTTCCTACAAATTGCCTATTCTTCTCTTAGCAAATAAAATAAGTGGAAAAGTTCTCTGATAATTCAGAATACAAACCACCTTAGAGTCAGATTAGGAACAAAAACTATCATTACACATAAAAGTAGTATTAATTCTCAAGCTGAAAAGCATTTCAGGGCTGGGGCTGAACCCCAGTGAAGGCACAGCTATTGTTCTAACCAGTACCCTCACTTCCTCTGAGGGCTGCTCCCCCTCATTCCAACTACCTAGTTCTGAGAAAGTTGTTACCCATCACAGAGGTCATCCACTGGCTGCTGGGGTGGGCAGGTGTTCCCAGTCAGGCCCATCTTGGTTTTTTTCTAGGATTTTCAAACTGGAATTAAGGGAAGAAGCCCTCTACTGAAGAAGCTATAAAATGTGAGAACAGGAGCTATTGATGGACATTGTTTCCCGTTGAATAGCAAAAAGCAGCCCACAGAAACAAAGACGGCACCAACAAGATGGAAAAATGGAAAAAGAGTCCTGGTTTCATTGGTACCAGAGGCCAGCATACTCATGTCCTTCCCTTGGCCTGGTTATGTAAGCCAGAGCATGATGATCACAAATTCCACTTCTGGCCTCAGCTAGTTTAGATTGGATTATGTTACTTGCAGTCAAAAGAAATCAGACCAATATAATCAGGTTAACTGGTCTGAAAAAAAAAGAGACAAAAAATATTTATGACATTTCCTAAACTCAAAAAAGTAAAATAAAAAAT